ATGTACATCGGCAGGTTAACCTTCAGTGCTACTTTATATTTCATATGTTTATATATATCTGTATATGTATATAAAAGTTTCCAAAATCACAGAAATTGCTCAGATCGTTGGGATGTCTCTTGACTGTTGGAATGCGATGGCAATGCGATGATAATGTTTATCGTTTCTAGAAACATTTATTAAATTCTAAAATATTTTCTATTAATCTGATTTTCCATTGTTTTTGTTCAAATTCAATAACCTAAGTATGATGCATGGTATGTTTTTGGAGCTTCGTTAAAACTTTTGAGACACACATTGAGTTTGAGCGACATTTACGAGAGCAGAGTGTTTTCTTAATGTAATGATTTATATCGTAGACATAGAGTGAGCTATATTTTTCATATGTGGCATCCAGGATTACCGTTATCATCAGTTGTCAATTGTGATTACCATTATTATCAATTGTTTCGTATTTCTCTATCCTTATTTCCAATTCTTAATGAATTCTCAGTAAAACAGATATTTAAGATAATGGAAGTAAATTACTTTGGTCATGTTGCGATAACCAAAGCATTGCTTGATTATATTCCTGAAGATGGAGCAATTGTGTATATAAGCAGCATACAAGGTCGCATTGCTGTACCATATCGAAGTTCTTATTCAGCTAGTAAGCACGCAGCCCAGGTGCGCTTTCGTTTGCTTTCAATTTTCACTTTGTAATTTTTTTCCCTTCTAATTCAGGAGGTTTATACTGAAGATTTTATGATTTAACTGTGCGAGTGATATTATGTGCCCTCTCTTGTTGTTTCATGAAATTGATAGACCGTTGTGATGGGTATTCAAAAAAACCAAACGTTCTGATTTAGAAGTGTCGAACTTTTGTCCCGATTTTTTGCTAGAAACGTATTGAAATGTTAATTGAATTGCAGGCTTTTTTCGATTGCTTACGAACTGAAGAACGATTTAAGACGCAGATTCTTGTTGTAAATGCGACTTACATGAATACAGGTTTTGGTCGTCATGCGCTTACTACAGAAGGTAAACCAATGAATAAGGATGACCCTAACCAAGCAAAGGGGCTCATGCCGAGTTATGCGGCTGAATGCATCACAAATGCTCTCGTGAACCGAAACACAGAATTGATTCTTGCACCATTAAGTCATCGTTTTGCTATTTTTCTCCGTTGGTTCTACCCCGCCCTTTTCTTTTATGCTATGTATCGGAGAGGTCTTAAAGATAAAAGCGTTAAAAACAAGTAATCAGTTGGCATGGACGTATCAGCAATTATAGAAGTTTGATTTAGCAGGGATTTTCAAGAAATGAATTTGCTGATTTTAAGGATTAATTGAAAAGAATTACGTAAAAACGCAGAAGATAAAGTAATCCGTCTTTTCCGCAGGGAATAATTTATTTATAAGGAAAAAAAAATATTGTATCCCCAGTTATTTTCAGTCATTTTGTGCTTCGGATCGGTTATAGGAAGTCAACACTTTATATGCAATTTGCATTTATTTCTGTCTTATTCATTCCTCATAATTTTTTTGATTATCTCTCCTTAAACGATAGTCAGGATAGAGCATAACGCAATCTGTCATTTTCTCTGACTATATTAACTAATTTTATTTTTCCATGTATTATTCCTGATGGATTATATGCTTGCTTTTATATATTTTTATAGTCGCATATCTCTTGTGCATTTTCAACTTTACTTTTTAACAACGAGTTATTAACCGTCTAATAGCTGATGTTTCTATCCATATTATCGTATCATTTTTCAATAAAATATTGTAGTAATTTTCTATGATTGTGCATTGCATTGAATAACAGTTCTCAGAAAATTATATTATGTTTGTTTCATTGCTTCTTTATGTCAATTATTTATTCCTTTACTATAGATTTTCTTATGTACTTCATCAGAAAATTCCCCTCGTCAGCAAAATACTAGTTTCCTAAGTCTCTGTCTTTTCTGATTCTTTCCTTATTCAAGTGGGCAGCTGTTACTTGGCGTACTTTGATTCGGCGGTTTCTATTTATCTTCCAAAAGAATGGGTGGAAAGAGAGTCCCTTTTTTTAGCTCTTCCTTACCAGAAGACTTACAGATAATTTCAGAATAGCGAAGAGCAGGTAATCTCAAAATAATTTTTTTTTTTTTAATATGGAGTTAACAGTAGAATAGGTGATTTTAGAATTTTTTTTTTTTATGTAGAGCTAACAGTGGACTCACTTGTTATTTCTTCACATCTTTCTTAAGGCTTTTTTATTGGTTTAATCGGAAAAGGTACTTGACATAGCCGATTGTCCGATTGTTTGACGGTATTACAATTTTAACTGGAAACAGCACTAATTATCTGCTAATCAGTGGTGGTGGATTTCAGTTTTGTAACTCTCGAGGTTATATTAAATTCAACCAATCGAAGCTACGGCGTGATATTGAACAATTGCGAAAAGATATTACACGAATGACGAACAACAGAAGTAATGTATTAGAGGTCGAAGTGAGTTTTTTATTCGTTCCTAAAAAAATTCTAAGAAACGAATTTATTGTTAGATTGATTAGATAATACCTTATTTTTACTGAGACTTAGCTGCGCGATACACTTGTAAAAAGCAGTTCATGAATTCATTTCTGAGGTACTAACTACTTTTAATAATAGTCTCTGAAACTCCAACTAAATCAATTACATTCACGTAGGTTGTTCTGTTACTGTCGGATCATGATAAATTCTGTGATAGTGACCATCTCTGTCATTGATTAATATGAATTTTCAGTTCTACTCTAATCATTCCATTTATCATTTAAATGCTTTTGCAGGCAAATGATTTCCTGCGAAAGAACGGATATTTGTTGGGTGGTTACAGTGCTGGGTTCCTATTAGGATATACATTTGCATGAATGTAGCTGCGATGCATGTTTTTGAAGTTTCGCTCCTTCCAAGAGGAAAATCTCATAGTTAATCTGATTAAATAACGGGAATATGTTCGTGTTTTATTTTAGTCATATGATTACCATAACCAGAGTTAATGCTAAAATTATTTACCCACAGATAAATTGAAAAGCTTTTAGTTCGCTTTTCAATTCATTATTTTGATTTCATTTATTCCTAATAGTACCTCTTTCTTCTTTCTTTTGCCATAGAAGGTGATATATTTTCTTGTTGACTGTCATCTCCTGTAATTTATGGATATCCACTGCTTTAAGATATTAAGTTCGCTTTTTAATGTATCAATTTTCGCAATTTTATGTACATAATCATACATGTAATCAATATTTTCACTTTACGAATAATTTGCAATGTGACGAAATATTTTCCAGAATTTTTTTGTCCTTCATACATAAATCCAGAAATGAAGTGTAACTATCCATTGGTTGTTTAACAATAATTGCAAGTTTTTTCACAATATCTTTGAGCAAATCTTGGATATCTGTGGCAATCTCCCTTTTCGCAATAGTGATTTTCATCAGCACATGGGCCTAAACAAAATCAGATTGCATTATGGAAGTATAAAACATGGAGAAGTTGTTGAAATCATTAGGAATTACAAAAGTTCAACAATTGTAATCTCAGTTTTGAAATTGGTCTTGATCATTTTATCTCTTGATGAGAAAATGTCTTTTTTATTAGGGATTTCCCGGAAGCTCGTTACATTGTAAGGGATCCTTAGCTAACTAATAATATTATGTTCAAAATGAAATATGTATTACCTGTTCTACCGGGATATCTTCTCAGATCTCCCAGAGATGGTTTATACGTTGGTTGCTGTATATGTGCTGTTGCCGAAGAAGGTTTACGAATTGAATCAGTTCTACTGCTAATGGATGAATGCCGTGATTTTTGTGTTGATGTAACAATATCAATTCCGGAATCCCAACGATGTCTTGTTGTTGCTGTCGATCGTATAGAGCTACTTCCGATATTATCATCATCAAGAGTAATTACACTACCTTTATCGGAACTATCTACAGTAGGAGGTTTAAGATCAATTATGGAACCACAAAAACCACAAGTTTTGGCACATTTTGTACGAGCATGATGTGGATAATCTAAGCAGGAATGTTCCGAACAATGAGATTCTTCATCTTTGCAATCTTCATTACTTATCGTTGGTTTCTTTCCTGAAATTCTTGAAAAAAAAATTAACTCTAACATAATAGACATTAAAAAGTTTCATAGCTATAACTAATTAATTTCTATTTCTTCAATTATAATTTCACATTTATGACATTGTTAATAATTTAACAATATTATTATATTTTTTACACGAATAAAAAGATAATCATTCCATTATGATTTTTGTTAATTGATTAATTTATGAGTTTATCACAGGATATATATGTGACAACAATAAAATCATTGTTTATGTGACAATAATAAAATCATTGTTTAGATATCTACGTACAAACCTCGCCATGAGCTATCACTTCGATCAAATTCGGAAGAAGTTTTGCTTTTTTGTTTATCAGTAGTGAACGATGAATGTCGACTTCCAGTGTATGTTGTTGTACTGCTGCTATCAGTTGCTTGTTTACGACAGAATCCGCAAGTTTTAGCGCAACGTGTTTTAGCAGTAAATGGATAGTTTTTGCAAGTTTGTTGAGTGCAATCAGTATTCAAATCAGTGCATTCTAATTCCTTATCTTTAAAATTTAATTATTATTTGATAGATAAAGAAAAAAAAGTGGATGATTACATTTAGTGAAATTATTTTACAATAAATACTTTAAGATTATTTAAACCTAAATCTAATCTTTCAAATTCACAATTTTGGCAGCTAGGCAGCTAATTAAGACAAATGGGTATATTTGAAATGCTTAATCAAATGCTTATCATACGATTCTCATTTAAAGTAGACAGATGAAAATCTTTTTTTTTTTGATTATCAACTGGTAGTAGTAGTTGAGGGTAAATCTTATTTGTATATATATATATATATATATATATATATATATATATATATATATATATATATATATATAGTAGTAGTAGTAGTAGTAGTAGTAGTAAGTAAGTAAGTAAAGTAAA